CTAGGGGTCCAGCATGTGACCTTTCAAGTCTCCCAGGTAGTGAATCCTCAATCTTCAGCAAAACGCAAATCTAAATCCGAACCCTAAATCCTAAACCCTAAACCCTAAAACCCAAATCTAAACCTGAACCCAAATCAGTATAACACCACAAAGCGCAAGACCACATCACCCCGGAGCCAGAAGCCACAAAACAGCTTAATTCTAAACCCTACCTTAACCCACCAAAACACACTTTTTTGTAGGTTGTTATTATAAACCCTAATATGGGATTCATAGGGAGTCTACAAAAAGGTAGGTTCTGGTGGGTTAAGGTGACACCTCATACCAATAAGGGCCTGGTTGCTCAACCCCCGGGCCCGCAAGAATCTTTGACCCAATTCTAGAAGGCTTAGTAGTCGAGGACGTACGGAACCGTTGGCCTCACTGAGGTTATAGTAGTATCCGTAGACACTTCGGAAGGTGAAGCTTTTGTCAGGAAGCTGAACAACGAAGACAGGAGCCCCAAACCACACCCTAAACCCCAGATCCCGAAACCCCAAACCCCAAAGCCCTAAACCCTAAACCCCTAAACCCTAAACCCTAAACTAAACCCCAAACCCCAAAGCCCGAAGCCCCAAAGATTGGAGCCCCAAACCTGAAACCCTTACTTGCCTTCACAAGTTGTCTCCACTGCTCTGGCCCATCCGCAGATCAGTGCCGGGCTTGTCCTTCACCCTTGAGGCCCAGGATTTTCTCTGTTTTGGGGTTTAGGGCTTACGGGGTTTAGGGTTGGAGCTTAGGGGGTTTAGGTTTACGGTTTTGGCTTCGGGGGTTTAGGGTTCAGCAGGGTGCCAACAACTATCCGAAAACGCTGACGCTGCATGAACATGTAAACTCCCGTAGGCCGGAGAAGATAACCAACCCTAAATTCCCTAGGGGTCCATGTACACATATAGTATATACTTTGGCCTTAATGTAGTCCCTATATAGGTACTTTGGGCCCATTGTATACCCTAAACCCTAAACCCTAAACAAAAAACCCTCAACCCTAAACCACACTATATGGGTACATGGACCCTTAGGGATTCTAAACCTTTCAGGGGACTAGAATCAAAGTAAAAGCTGGCCCTAAGCTGTCCTTCCTAAACCCTAAACTCAGACATTTGGAGGGCAGAGGGTTCTTGGCCTCTTGTCAGATTTAGCGAGGTTTGAAGGGGGTTATGTGGCTTTCATAGTTTAGGGTCTAAGGTTTAGGGTTTAGGGTTTAGGGCCTAGGGTTTGGTCAGCACATGTTTGGGTTTTTCGTCGAGTCTGCTGTAGAGGCGTGACGAACAAAGAGCCGAATTCAGGGTTTCATTTTGCGTTTAGGGTTTAGGGTCAGAGTTTCAGAAAAAGAGGGATAACCCCAGATGGCTGGATCCTTATTGTAAGGACCCTTGCGGTTTAGGGTTTGGGGTTCAGGGACCCGAAATTTCAAGAAGCCCCCCGGCAATTCCCCCGCGGTCTCTCAAAAGCATCGTGGGGACCTGTTTGAGGCTCTTCACCCGGCTCTTCACCCTAAACCCTAATCTTTAAACCCTAAACCCTAAACTTTAAACCCTAAACCCTAAACTTTAAACCGTGAACCCTAAACCGTAAAGCCTGACTCCTAAACCCTAAACCTTGTTTGAGCCTCTTCACCCTAAGCCCGAAGCCCTGAACCCTCAACCCTAAGCCCTATACCCCAAACCCTGAACCCTGTTTGAGGCTCTTCACCCTAAACCCTAAACTTTAAACCCTAAAGCCTCAGCCCTAAACCCTAAACCCTAAACCCTGAACCCTAAACCCTGAACCCTGTTTGAGGCTCTTCACCCACATCGATGGCCGATCGGTTTGCGTCGAGGGCTGTCCGGAGTGCCCTTCGGCTCCGTTTAGGGTTTAGGGCTTAGGGCTTAGGATGTAGGGTTCAGGGCTTTGGGTTTAGGGCTTAGGGTTCAGGTTAGATTTCAGGGCTTAGGGTTTAGGGTTCATGATTCAGGGCTTGGGGTTTAGGGTTTGGGGTTTAGGGCTTAGGGTTTAGGGTTCAGGGCTTTTGGTTAGGGATAATCATGGTTTAGGGTTCAAGGCTTTGGGTTTAGGGGTGATTGTAGATTATGCACGTGTAAACTGTTGTCCCCTTGTGCATTCCCATGGATGACCGCTGCACTAGTGCTCTAGTAGACAAAAGGAGTGATTGCTCTGCCATGCTACAAGAGTTCTACTAACACTTAACGGTTCACAACATCAGTGCGTGTGATCCAGTGGCTATACCCAACTTCTAAACCCTAAACCCTAAACCCTAAACCCTATACCCAACTATAGTGATGATGAGCTTCTGCGTTGTGTGTAGACCTTGGGGTCCAGGCGGTTGTTCTCAATCACGCGACAAGTTGTGGCATCCCGAGTCCTACCCAAGATAAAAAATATATACAGATAGATAGATATATAAACGGATAGATAGATAGATAGATAGATAGATAGATAGATCGATAAATCCATAGATAGATAGATAGATAGATAGATAGATAGATAGATAGCTTTTAGAGATCGAGTCAAATTCAGTTGGATGCCTTTTTTCGAAATGTCTTCGAATTTGAATTTGGGTGAATGTAGATCAGGAGCCGGTCTGGCAGCTTTAGTGTTTAGGGTTTGGGGTTTAGGGTTTAGGGTTTAGGGTTCTCCGTTTGTGGTGACTGTAGTTACGTATAAACCCTGCATGATACAAGCTACCAGCCGGTAGGAGTGCCTTTCTGCCCAAAAGAAGCTGGAGTTCAGAGATTTGGGGTTTAGGGTCTGGGGGGTTCTAGAGGTTTACGGGGCTGACTCAATCTTGAAACTAAACCCAATCCCCCGAAATTCCTCAACCCGAAAGCCATGAGCCCTAAACCCTTTAAGGGTTCCTTTCCAGGGTTCCCTTACGGGATCTATAAGAGTTCCTTTTTGGGTTTAGGGTTTAGGGTTACGTGATCCTTTAAGGGTTTAGACCCAGGCTTCAAGCCCAACGACGACGATGGCACTTGCACCTTCGACGGCAGCCAGTACGGCTGCGACCACGTGGCCGCCTTCCACCCGGAGGTCGGCTCCTTTCAACGTTTTGTCCCGGAAGGTTTCCTTAGAAGGACCCGATTGCAAGGATTTGAGGATCAAATTACTTGTAGCCCCAAAAACCCACCTTTGAAAGGAAGTATATAAAGAAGCCACAAAGAAGAACCCGAAAACGGTGAGGAAGTATATCAAGTAACTATAATAAGCGAACCCTAAATCGATATAAAGAAGCTTTAATTTGGGAATCCTAAACTCTAAACCCTAAACCCTAAAAACCAAAAAACAACCTAAAGGGGTAGGGTTTGGGAGCCCGAGGTCGGGCTTAGGAGACTTTTGTGAGTCGGGGCCGAGGGCTCAAGTAATTTTGGGGGTTCCTTAATTAGAATAGGGATACCACCAAAGTGGTATGGGTAATTATTGAGGTTTCTGTATAAAATCCCAAGAAGTTCGAAGCCGGCTGTAAAGGTTCTATAAGGGCTTAGAGCAGGGGTCTTAATACTTACAATAGGGTTCCTTTAGAGGGTTCCTAAACCCTAAACCCTAAACCCTATAGAGGGTTGCTTAAAAGGGATACCCCGAGAGCCGGAGGACGCCGATGCAAAGCCTTACGGCTCAGGGTTTGGGGCTTAAGGTTTATAGGGTTTAGGGTGTATAGGGCTTTGGGTTTGGGGTTTAGGGTTTATAGGGTTTAGAGGGTTTAGGGCTTAGGGTTTAGGGTTTAGGGTTTGGGGTTTAGGGTTTAGGGTTGAGGGTGTATAGGGCTTCGGGTTTGGGGCTTGGGGATTATAGGGTTTAGGGTGTATAGGGCTTTGGGTTTGGGGCTTGGGATTTATAGGGTTGAGGGTGTATAGGGTATGGGGGGTTTATAGGGTATAGGGTTTAGGGTGGATAGGGTTTATAGGGTTATAGGGTTTACAGGGTTTAGGGNNGGGTTTAGGGTTGAGGGTTTAGTCTTCGCAAGCTGTAGAAACCCATGCGAAAGCCTTATGAAACCTGCGAGCCCGGCAGAGGGAGCCTTACGAAAGCCCCGATGGAACCTGAGAAAGCCTTATGGGGCCGTCGGTGGTTTCTTTACATTTCTGTCTCAAGGGGCTGTATATAGGAATTGTTTATTAGAGCTATCTTCGGCAGTATTAGGAACAGATAAAGC